AATTTTCGCCCGCCAGCGGAATGGGAAGTCTCATACCCCACTGGGGTACTCAGATGGGTCCATACGGCGACAAAAGCTGGCTTTGCCGGATCGTCCATCTCAGTCTCTGGTAGCTGCCGTGCAATGGGACCGGCCCTTGGGATGGAAACATCCCTTTGGTACTTCTGTGTCCGTGGCAGGACGCATGTGGACAGCCACGTGGTACGGGTGTAGTATTGAGCCACTGGGGAAAGTGCCTTGAGGGCGCATGGCTTATCTTTTGACCTGGCAATTGGAACCGCTGAGCGCATGTTCCACAGTTCAAAAATTACTTGTTTTAAAGGTTAGTCGGCGTTAGTCACCCAACTAACGCCCTGTTCATTACTATTTGTTGCTGTGGACAGGTTATTCAAGTTTTCAAGTTTTGAGAGTCAATCATGCCAACAGTCAACACCTCAACCAAGCGAGCAAGGTACGTATTGTCAAATACAGCTTTGAATTATGTGTATGATACTAACATTAAATGTTGACAGGAATGATCGCGGTGAACAGTAACCGCGACGTCGCGAAGATACCGAGGCTGCCAGCTCCACCCCGGATGGGTACGAGTAACCAGCAACCAAAAGTCGGCGCTTGAACAGGAGGTGCGCTGCACGCAACCAGTTCTTGGGACGATGCAAGGATTGGATAAGCTCAGCATTCAGGAGACAAGTCGCGGAGTTGCCAGGGCGCAGCCGGTCAAACCTGAAGCTGCGAGCGGTAGCAGCGTTCTCTCGGGGCCACACGAGATTGCTATGAGCGAATCCGCCAAGCAGGCACATACGGCTTCAGACACCGCTGTTTCAGCGAGAGAGCGTGATACACAACAAGCTCGAACCCGGCGTATCCTATCAGAGAGAACGCGCCAGACAGAGAGACGTGGAGCGAAAGCGTATTCGCAGAGCTCAGCTTCGTGCAGGGGCATCTGGGCTTACGATGGTGCGAGAACAAAACCGGCTGGATCAGCAGAGAAGGCCGCACGGATGATGAGCGTGAAAGGGAGCGGTAACGCAATTCGATTGCACGCGCAGATCAACGATCGCAGCTGACGCAAGAAGAGCGGAAGAACAACTTGACCACTCGCGCAGATCAACGATCGCAACAGCCGCAAAAGGAACGTGAAGCAATACGAGAGATCGACCAACAGAGCCATGTCGAGCGACGTGCGCAACAGAAGAAGAACGACAAACAGAGCTCGAGAGGGCACGAACGCGACGTCAATGCGTCCGTCATGACCATGCTCTTATATCCCTAGAAGATCTTGATGCGACCATGGTAACAGGCGACAACGTGGTCAACGGGCACCACAAACGATCGCCTACTACGGCTTGCCCTCGGTGCAATACGTGGGAATGGCCAGATGAGTCCCCATTTCTTGCTGTCTGGGTGGAGCAGTCAAACTGTCTCCACTCCGTCCCGCCCCACCTAGACAGATCTAGTTATATGGAGACCCTGAATTTCATCGCCACATTCGCCACATTCGAGCTTACAATCAAGCATTTGCCTTCACGTAGATCGGAGCCTCCTTACCGAATCAATCATTTGAAGGCGTTTGTCAAGACAAAAGCGTGACCGGTGCACGTGGTGTATACATTTATCGCATTCAGGATGCAACGAGGCACTTTTTAGGGTCTCTAATACCTCCAGTCGATCCTCGGACGGGAAAGAGAGCCCCGCCGAAGTTTGCCCAGATCAATATATATAAAAAAAAACTTCGGGCCGATCGATACAAAGGAGTCTAGGACGCTCTGCTGAACGAGGACGCTATCTCGCTGGAGGAAGGAGAAGTACTACTCTCAGAATACGATCGGAGCGATAATAAATTGGTGCACCCAGATCGCAACAAAGAAGGCGGGGGGGGGTCTACCCACTTTCTTAATCAGTGGACAAGCGTATTATGCTACCAGCGTCGCACCTGGGTAGCCCGCGTTCAATGTACAAGTCATATCAAGATTCGATGGCAATGGAGCTGCAAACCCTTCGTGCGTCTGTATGAAGGATGGTGAATGCTCCGAAGGATACCCAAAGATATTAGAAGAGGTCACTCGCTCCGATGCCAACGGGTATCCAGTCTACAGACGACGGCGCTCGGAAGGTGTTCTCGAGTACAAGGGCAGAGAATATGACAACGCCACGATCAACCAGTTGTTGTACCGTACAGCCCATACTTATCCCAAAAGTACAGCTGTCACATCAATTTGGAAATGCGCACGGACATATCAGCTGTCAAGTATCTCTACAAGCACGTGTACAAAAGGGACGGACATGGCTACGATTACCGTGGAGGAAGTCCAATGCCGGCGACGGACTATGCGTCGGGAACCGAATGAGATTCTACGATTCTTGAGCGCCAGGTACGTTTCTCCGGTACAAGTGTGCATGCGTTTGCTCAACTTCACGATCCAAGGGAAAAGCACGCGATCACGCAGCTCACGATACATCTGAACCGTGGACAGATCGTGTTTTCCGACCAAGGGAGAAACCCGAGGCCGTTCTGGATCGTTGTAATCACACGATGCTGACTCGAGTTTTGAGCTGTGTGCCAGTGATGCACCTGAAAACCAGATTGCCAAGACCATGCTATACCATAATATCCCCAAATAGTTTTGTTGCCAAAGGGCCTGCGAAACAGCCTAGATAATGCATTTTAAAAAAGTACTAATCAGCGATTTAACGTCTGGTTCATGTTTCTCCCAGAGATATAGACAGGTTTTACCCACGCATGATACTTTGTCAACGCAGGGGGTCAACTACCTTTGAAAACTTGTGGACCGTCGATAGCGTTGTATTAAACATACCGGGATGCAGCGCTACACACTGGCTTCTTAGAGAGCGACAACGAATGGATCTTCTGTATGTCCGAGGCTGCTGAGTTCAAGGCGCCATACCAACTACGTCAGCTTTTCGCCACGATTTTGGTGTACTTAGTCCTGATCGATGTGCGTGGGCCGTGTTTTCGATTTACGAGGACCTCTCACAGGACAATACATACAAGCACTATGATATGATGAACTCATCAGTTGTGGAATTTGAAACGTTGAAAAGTCTCAACGATTTGCTCCAAGTCAGTGGATACTCCGTCCAAGATTTCAATCTGCCCAACGTGAGTACCTTCCCCAGATTGGTGCTTGAGACGCTTCGGAAAAATAGTCTACTCAGGCGCGAGTTGACTGGGTAGGAAGAATCGACTTTACAAGAGATCGTGAACATAGAAGAACACCTGAACGCACGTCAGTGCCTCATTTATGATGGGATTATCCAGACTGTCGAGATCCCCGAGGAAGGCAAGAAGCTGCTTTTTTTGTCGATGGCCCTGAAGGAACTGAAAAGTCGACACTACTTCGCAACATAGTGGCAAATGTCCGGCTATCAGGGAAGATCGCAATTGCGGTTGTGTCAAGCGGTATCGTCTCACTGCTACTAATAGAAAAAATAACAAGTCATTCTACCTTCAAGATCCCGCTGACGCTAAATGAACAGTCGACTTGCTCAATTACCAAGCAGTCCTATGTGAAGGAGCTGATCCAGCGAGCAAGTCTGACTATTTGGGACGAAGTTCCTATGGCCCATCGACACGCATTTGAGGTAGTGGACCGGATACTGTGGGATATACTTGACAACGAGACAGAGCCATTTTGTCTGTCCAGCGATTTCCGTCAGATTGCTCATGTTGTGAAGAAAGAAAGCCTGTTGACATGATCAATGCTTGCCTTAAGTCATCAACACTGTGGTCGCTATTCCGGACTCTCCGCCTGAAGGAGAGCATGTGAGTGCGTACAGCACAGAATGTAGGCTGTGTGAAAAAAAAGGCTGCCTTCTTCGAGCTTCTTTTGCAAGCTGGGGAGGGAAGACACGAGGTGAATGCTACTCTTGGGTTGGATTCCATCAATATCCCACGTGATATGTTGATTAAAAATCCAGTTGTCGGCGAGGACGAAGACGAGAAGATCCGTCCTGGGGCACTCCTAGAGGTATGAGCCGTATCATCGACGAGATTTATGCGGATATCAGATTGCAACTGACGAGTACTTCGCGGACCGTACAATTATCACGACCACGAATGCAATTATGCATCGCATCAGCGAAGCGGTGGCTGAGCGTTTATCGGTTCAGGCCCGGGATTACATGTCCGTGGATACCGTGGAAGACGACGGGGATGGAAACTTATTCGAATCGGAGTTTCTGCACTCGATAAATTTCAGTGGGATTTCACCACATAAGTTGAAGCTCAAGAAGGGGATGCATGTTATGACGATGCGGAACTTGGATTCAGACACCGGGCTCTGCAACGGAACACGGCTACGGATCGTTGAGCTGAGACCTCATGTGATTCATGCCACCATCATGACAGGTAAGCGACAAGGACAGCTCGTATTGATTCCACCTATCGTGTTTGTAAGCGACGGAGACATTCAAGATTTTCCTTTCCGGCTGAGACGAAATCAGTTTCCCTTCCAGCCCGCCTTTGCCATGACCATCAACAAAGGCCAAGGGAACAGTACGATATTTGGGACTGTACCTGGCGACGTCTTGCTTTTCACATGGACAGCTGTACGTCGCGATGTCGGGGGTGACGCCAAGATTAAGTTTCAAGGGACTTATTGAGTACCCGGAGCTGGAGGAAGAACATAGTGTACAGGCAGATCTTCGAATCAAAGTAGGCAGTGGGTAGCTCTGTACGCATGTAAATAGATTGGTTTAAAGCTGACAAACTTTCCCGCCGGAGCCGGTATACGGTTTCTGCTCAATTATGCAAAAAACGTTTGATACGAGGCTACTCAGACTAAACCCTGTCACCACCGCCGCGATGCGGCGCCGCTTGGCGGCAGTCTACAGTACATTAGAAAGCTGGGCACTTAAGTGTGTATGTGGTGTGCACCACACTGACAAACTGTACGAAGAAAAAAATCGGCAGGTCGAGGAAGCACTTTGCGGCCTCTGTCAGTTCATAAGCAGCAGTAAGGCGAGGACCTTCATTTTGCATGTCGTTCGGCGGGTTCGGCAATACCAGCGCACCTGCGAGCGGCGGCTTCGGGGGCTTCGGCTCAAGCGGTACCAGCGGGGGATTTGGGGGCTCTGCAGCAGCGTCCCCATTCGGCGGCGGCGCGACGACAGGTGGATTCGCCTCCGGCACGTCAGCTTTCGGTGCGGGAGTGGTCAAACCGGCCTTCGGGGGCTTTGGAGCCCCAGCGCCAGCTACTGGAGGCGGTTTCGGTTCGCAACAGACGACGACAACAGGCTTCGGCGGCTTCGGGACCTCAGCAGCACCCTCCACGGGCTTCGGCGCAGCAGCCAACCCCGCGACGACCTCGGGCTTTGGAACTACGTCGACATTCGGCGGAGGTGCGACCACAGGCGGCTTTGGATCTTCGGGCACGTCGGCATTCGGATCCAGCACTCCGTTCGGTGCCAAGCCGGCTGCTAGCTCGAGTCCTTTCGGGTCCACGAGCGCATTCAGTAGCGGAGCAGGAACGACCAATGCCTTTGGCGGAGGATCCACAACAGGAGGGTTCGGTACACCTACACCAGCTAGCAGCGGCATGTTCGGTGGAACGACGGGCGGATTTGGCGCATCTGCAGCCAAGAGTCCATTTGGAGCGACATCTACGGCCACGACGGGAGGTTTTAGTTCCCAGGCAACTGGCACTTCTGCGTTCGGAGGCTTTGGCTCTCATCCAGCGGCAGCTGTGGCGGGCGGGCAGGCGCAGGTTCAAGTCGGAACGGGCCAACCAACGTACCAGCCTACTCGAGAGATGGAGCCGTCGGGAACTGGTGGCACGGCCAACTACATCTCGATCTCGCGCATGCAGGCGTTCGCGCACAAATCGACGGAAGAGCTACGTTACGAGGACTACCTAAAGCGTACGAACCCGGCAGCAGCACAGGCGGCTGCTACGCAGAACGCTCCCGCACCAGGTGCAACGACAGGTGGAACTGGAGCATTTGGAGGCTTTGGCGCGCAGCCAGCTACGAGCTCTGCTTTTGGCTCGACTGGAGGATTCGGCAGCAGCCAGCCATCGGCATTTGGTGCGACATCTACTGCTGGAGGCTTTGGGTCCTCTTCTTTCGGCTCGACGTCGACGTCGGCAACAACAGGCGGATTTGGTGGATTTGGATCGCAGCCTGCGACCCCTGCAACGAACGGCGGTCTGTTTGGCAGCACGGCCGCCGCCCATCCTGCTACAGGTGCATTCGGAGCGCCAGCTACTAGCAGCGCTTTTGGCGCCGCACCTGGTGCCACGCCAGCTTTCGGAGCACCCGCTACCGGTGGTGGTTTTGGCTCAACGACTGGTGGTTTTGGTAGCAGTTTTAGCGCGGCACCGGCAGCACAGCCACAGACTGGCGGTTTTGGAGGGTTTGGCACCACTGCTCCTGCGGCTGCGTCGGGATTTGGTGCCTCCGCATTCGGTAAGCCAGCAGCGTCTACAGGTTTCGGAGGTTTTGGAGCCTCGCCGGCGCCTGCAGCCGCACCGGCTACGGGCGGGTTTGGTTTTGGAGCCTCACAGCCGCAAGCAGGCGCGACAACCTCACTTTTCGGTGGAGCAAGTACACCAGCGCCAGCTTCAACAGGTTTCTCGTTTGGCGCGACTGCCCCGAAGCCCGCAGCAACCGGGGCCTTTGGCTTTGGCTCCACTGGGGGCACTAGCGCGTTCGGTAGTAACCCAGCTGGTGCGTTTGGAGCTTCGGCGGCACCCAGTGCTTTCGGAGCCACTCCTGTACAGCCGGCAACAGGCACTACTTCTCTCTTCGGATCTACCGCTGGAGCAACTGGTTCGACTGGCGGTTTCGGCTTCGGAAGCACGCCGTCTGCGACACCGGGGGCTACGACCAGCTTGTTTGGAGCAGCTAAGCCTGCATCGACAGGTCTCTTCGGATCGACAACGGGTAGTACTACCCCAGGAGGACTTTTTGGCAATACTATGGGCACTGGAGGATCGTCTCTTTTTGGGGGAGCGAACACGGCCCCAAGCGCTGGAACGACTGGCTTTGGATTCGGCGGTGGCGGTGGCTTTGGAAGCGCTATCGCTGGTGGCTTTGGAAATACTTCGACCCCGGCTGCTCAAACAGGAGGATTTCGAACAGCGGGGAGTTTATTTGGACAATCTCTGCAGCCAGCCCAGACAGCTGCTTCACAGCCACAGAATTTGGTGGCAGCCCCGGATGTCAATCCGTACGGTGCTGGATCGTTTGGTGCCGGGCTTGTCGAGCAGAATGTGAAGGCGGCGCTGGATCTTCAGTCGATTAAAACGGGCTTGAGTGCGTCTTCTCGTTTGACGGCCTTCGCAAACGACGTTGGCCTCCCTAGAGGTCCGCTGGAGCCACCACTAGTTACCCGACGCCAAACTGTGACCAACCGCCATGCGATCCCGGTTTCGTTTATCCGTGGCTCGTTCAAGGGCTCCAAGAGCCGGTTCTCAACGTTCACGTCCCCAGCGCTACCTTCTGCTCTTTCTCGATCTGGTTTGGAGTCTAATGGTGACAGCAGTACCAAGGAAGACGAATTTAAGTTCACATCGTCTCTGTTCCGCAACTCGGCGACGAAGAAACTAGTGATCGACAAGAGCGAGCAACAGTCTGCTCAAGGTAACGGGTCAAGCTCCCGTCTCTCAGTTGTGCCGATCATTGATACTGACCATGGTGACGCTCACGAAATCGGAAGTGGTCGCTCTCGATTGTTGAAGCCTGGCGACGATGGCAAGTACAGTGTCAGCTTCTGCAACCAGATGAACAAGAAGGCTTTCTCGCTGCGTCTGTACCCGAATCAAACGGTGAAAGAAACGAGGACCGAAGTGAAGCTGCTGTTACGTGAGAGCAGTACGTCAACGGCATCCACAATCGTCGACATTGAATTGGTTTTGAAGGGCAGAATTGTGCATGACACGTGTACCATTGAAGGACTGCACTTGAAGGAAGTGGACTCAATTGACGTCGTTGTGATTGAGGATCGCACAGAGGACAAGAACCGTGAAGACCAACGTGTCTCGATTTCTTCCATGCCAAAGAAGCCGGAAGCCCAGGATATTGACGAGACCGTGCCACCGAAGCGTTTCATGACGTACGATGAGTATTTGGCCTCAGCCAGTCGCGTTGAAGATGATGGGTTCAAGGATACTGAAGCGAATGGCACTAGCTGTGCTTCACCAGTCTCGACGTCGTGCCCTACATTGAAGAACAAAGACTACTTCACTATTCCGTCGTACGAACGGCTGCAGACTATGAATGATCACGAGTTGTCCCAAGTGGAGAAATTTACTGTTGGTTGCCGCGGTCTGGGTGCCGTTGAATGGGTCGGTAAGACGGATGTACGTGATCTCGACCTTGACGAGCTGGTTTACTTTGAGAAGAAGGAGGTGATTGTCTACAGAGACGACGAAAAGAAGCACCCCCTAGGAAAGGGTCTAAACAAGCCCGCTATTGTTGAGCTTCTGGGTATCTTTCCGCCGCAGCGCAAGTCGACATCTCCCGACAAGTACAAGGAACGTGTGAAGCAGCGCACTCAAGATATCGGTGCCACATTCCTGGATTATTCCATCGAGAAGGGCATTTGGCGGTTTCGTGTCGAGCATTTTAGTCGCTATGGCTTCGATGATGATGACGATGACAATGTCGACATGGACGATCACGGAGACGCGACCGGCAAGAAGCTGCTGAATGCCGACCACCTGGCGCGAAAGCCTGAAATGACTCGTGGGCCCGCGGTTAGTCGAGGAAAAGTGACATTTTCGGCCGACCGCAGTGCACTCTTTCGCCAGTCCGGTATATTTGCTGGCGAGGTGGCCACCACCAATGCTGTTGCTACATTCGGAGCCCGCCATGTCCTCTCTACCCTCAGTGACAAGTGGGCTGGAACGTCTGATGACTCGAACAGTATTAAGCCTGCGACAGAGTTTAAGATGGATCTTAGCGTTGAGGAGGATATGACAGTGATGAAGAAGGACCAGCGCCCTACTAGTGAGGTGTTTCCAGTGATCCCGTTTACTTTGAAGCCTCTAGGTGTGAGCAGTGCCGACCACCTGAAGTCTGAGGATAAATCTACTACGTACCAAATGATGCTACAGACGTCGAACCAGGGGCAAGCAAAAGTCGTGCGCAACCAGGTCGATGGAGGTATATTCATGGCCCGTTCGTTTCGCTGCTCGTGGGGGCCAAACGGTGAGCTGGTGAACCTGGGAAGGCTCACTTCACGCTCGGAGAAATACTCGGATGTGGAAAATAATGGTCGTCGCGTTTGCATCGAGTTCCCCCTCCGTCTCTCTGAAACAAGCAAGTCGGATCTCCATGATGGGCTGAAGCTGCATTACGAGTACACTTCGCAAGGACGAAACCCAAACGATTTCATTGACCGAGACGGATCGGAAGTCCCCGCTCAGTACGCACTTCCTGTTGGCGATCTGCTGATGAGCTGCTTGCACAAGTATGTCGCCCACGTTCAAGACCGAGCTATAAAGGTACCGAGAGAGAAGCGCACTCTGCTTCTTTGGAAGCTGATTCAGGCTTTGTGGGGCCAAGAGCATGGCGCTAAGATAGGTGGCCGACCGGATTCTACGTTCTACCCTCTCGCGTCCCGGGACGGTCCCAATGAAGTGGAGTCTCTGGACACCTTCCAGACTCTTGACCTCCGTCGTGAAGCCATCTCGCAGTGGTTCGAGACTGCATTGGACGATACAGAACACTTGGCTGCTTTTGACGGCAACCCCTGCACAGAAGGCGTGCTACGACTTCTATGCCAACACCGTGTCGCGGAAGCGTCTGAGATGGCGTTAGAGTGTGGAGACTTTCGTTTAGCAACGCTGCTCGCACAGGCAGCATCTTACGAAGGCAATGCATTTCGCAATCTGATGGAGACTCAAATGGCTCAATGGAGTGAGAACGGGTCGCTGGAATTCATGGACAAAACGCTGGTTCTTATCTACAGCATCCTGGCTGGTAGTGTCGAGGTGTTGACTGCGCAGAAAGGTTTTAGCATGTCGTGGATCGCGTGCCTTGCTTTATTTTTGTGGTACAAGCGTGGCCCTGCGACGTCTCTTAAGTCGGTTATGGCGCTTTACGAGGACGCAGTCAGAAAGCAGCTGGCGTCAACCCCGTTGTCAAAGTTTGCACCTGTCGACACGGACAAAGATGACGTACTCATGGAGTTGATGAAACTCTATATAGAAGATGCTGCCTCGCTTTGCAAAGTGTTGTCACCAAGTGGCTTCATGAGCCAAGGCACGCACCATCTGGACTATGAGTTGTCGTGGCACCTGCACAGCTTTCTTCGTGCCATTGGCTACAAGCTTGACCGAGAGTGGGAATCGCACATTCACCAAAATTTCATCCGGCAACTCGAGGGCGCTGGTCTGTGGGAAGATGCCGTTTATGTTGCGCTAAACATTTCTGACGTTATCGAGCGCGAGAACACCTGCCGTGAGCTGCTCTTCCGCAACGCAGATGTATTGGCATCCGACGTTGCCAAGCGGGAACTGCTTTGTGAGCGCTTAACCCTCCCACCGGAATGGATTAGTGAAGCGCTGGCGGTGCGGGCAGTTGCTAAGCAGGAGCGCCACGAGGAAATTGCACATTGGATGGCTGCCCGCCACTACGAGGAAGCTCACGCTTGTCTAATTTCGCACGTGGCGATGTCCTGTCTCTTCGCTAACGAAAAGGACGTACTGATGCAGTTGCTGTTAGAGCTGGAGCCTGTGGCGGTATACGTCCCTCAGTGGAAGAGCTGTGACAGGGTGGATACCATTGGAGGTGGCTTGTTGCTGGAATACCTCCGTCTTGAGCAGCAAAAAGGACTGGAAGCTGACCACGAGGACCAGTTTCTCCAGCGAGTGATGTTGCTTTCGCAGCAGCTTTCTCGCGCTCGGGACGCCTCGGCAAAAGAGTCCGACAAGAAGGCGCTTCTGGCGCAAACGTGTGTGTCGTCGATGATTGTGTCCTTGGCCGCTCAGGCGGTGCAGCTGCGATCGCTTCTGTCTTACACACAGGAGCGCGAGTTGGCGGATGATGCGTCTGCAATCTCGACGCCTCTTGAACTGGAACCAGAATTTCTTGGCGGACTCTCGCATCTAGTCACTGGACGTGAAACTAGCTTTGTGGAGACGTACCGAGCGAGTCAACTGATGCACCTTTGCTCGACTTTCATCGACTGGCGTGCTTAAGGTTTTGCAAGAAGAATCTCAAGACAAAATGTCGGAGGCAGATTTGGCACTATATCTGCGCATTGAAAGCCAAACACGGCAAACGCTATTACTTTTTCTCTACTTTTCGCGATTTTTTTCGTGTTCTGCGCCTAATCTACTGCTACTTACTAATTATACCTGCTTTGTTCTCGCGGAAACTCCAGACGCCATCATTCCCAGTCTCCGGTCCCTCGTATCCAACGAAGGTGGCGCCCATCTCCTGCGTGTGGGTTTCAAGGTGCTTTAAAAAGGCACCGTTGCGTGCGGCTCGTTTTCTTTAGCGGCAATGCCATGAAGTTCAACGATCGCTGGCTTATTGCGTCCACTCGGCCGATACATTGCTATCCGGCTAAACAACAACTTCTCCCTGGGAAAACGCTACGAGTTCGCCAAGCACAGCATCGACAAAGGTGATTTTCCCACAACCACCACGACCAATCACAAAATTCTCCACGCAGGCAAGCTTCTTCTCAGCGAGTCGCTGGAGCTCACTTGCTGATGGTTTAGAAGCGCAGGACAAACATGCGATGGAGAATTGGGATTGCGTCGCGGTCAGCGTATGGCTATGCATCTGCAGTTTGGACACTCGAAATCTCGCCAATCTTTGTGCTCTCGCCCGTCGCCAGTATTGGACTAGGCCCAACGCAGTTCCTCAACGATTTCGAAGAAATGGCCAGGCGGGAGAACGAACTTACGAACCGAAACACGTCGGCCTGCGGTAGTCTTGAACGAGAACTCGACGGAGGAGTATGCGGTTTGCGAATCGGGAGTCTTGGCAGTATCAATCTCACGGGGAGTGCTTGCAAATGTTGTCTGGCAATGCCAAGCCGGGCTGCAAATCTTGCAGCTGACGAGGCTTCGAGCACCTCAACGCAACTGATGATCGATCATTAAGCACCTTGAGCTTGATACAAGAGGGCGGATTAGCGATTGCAGGCTTGATCTTCTGTTCTATAAGCCCTGCGCCGCATGACCCGGAAGCGTACGGATCAGTATCGGGAGATGCTACCAAGGTGTCAAGCGAAGAGGACTCTTCTGGTGAGGAGGAAGCATCACCCGAAGAGCTACTCTTCATCTTGTATGGAATTCCTGGACTTGGTTCTTTTTCCGTCCCGCAACCAGTCCAATCGAAGGTAGTGACTAAGAAGACTCGGTTGGAGCCAAGAGCTGGTGCTGCTGAAAACAAGAACGCCAAGGATTAACTGCCGTGTTGAAATCTGGACGTAGCCCACTTCTAAACTTCACAGATGCTGCTCGACCAGGCACAGCAGACGGGACGTCTCGAATTCCGCCGAAGGTGTTTTCACAGCAGTAGGGGTCCACCCACACTTTCGAAGTCGCCTTCATCGCAAAGGGTTTTACAGTCGTTTTTGCAGACACCTTCACTGCAAAAGGATTCACGGTTGCATTTGCAGCCACCTTCCTGCTAAAAGGACTTCCTCCTGATGATTGTGGCGTCAATGCGGACGGATTGGACGTCGAGACGCTTAGTGGTGCGAACGGATTGCCGAAAGATTTCCCAGTTTGTTTTTTCGTCGGCGTCGCGAATGGGTTTAAAGTCGGCGCCAGAGGCGGTTTCGCAGCGCTGCTACCTGCTTTAAACACCGTGCAGCTTCCTCCGGAGCCAATACCCATTTTGCTGGCTTCCAAAGAACTACCCGCTTTACTAAACAGTGTTCGAGTTGCCCCAAAACCAGAATCCACGGAGACACTGCCAAACAAAGGGGTTGTGTTGCCCTGACCCGCACCTCCACCAAAATCAGTACTAGCAGTGCCAAAGGCGGCGTCGGTCTTGGTGCTGAGGGTGGCATACCCAAACGCGAATCCTCCGACATTCTGTGGCGCTTCGTTTCCACTGGAGTTCGAGCCACAGCTTCCAAACAGCGTTCTTGACTGGGTCGATGGACCAAACAGCGGCCCTTCGTCAGGTGACCTGGAGTGGAATCCAGGCGGGGACTGAAATAGCAGCCGGCTTGGTGGTTTAGGCAGGGTCCACTTAGACGCGACTGCCACGTCGCCATTTCGCGCGAAGGACTGCGCTGTGCGCTTGACTCGGCCAAACGGATCCGACGCTTTCTCAGCCCACACGGCACTGCCAACATCTCTGAACCCAGAAGAAAGCCGACAGAGTTAGCAGACCCAAAACCAAACACGTTTGTGATAGGGGACCTGGACATGGATGTCGCCGAGGGTCCACAGGAGACGTCTCTGTTGGCGCCCGTTGCAGGGTTGATCGAAGACGCAAAGAGCGGCATGACGGTCAACGGTGGCGTCTCTTTATTATCTCTCTCCCCACTACTACGCTACTAGGTACAACTGTTCTCTCTGATCTATCCAAGATACCCACGAAGCGATAGTGAGAGCAAGAACACGAGACTTGAAAGAGCTTATAATGTGAATTGTTTGTCAGCACTACGCAAGTTGGGCGGAAAACAAGCTAAATATCCAGGGGGCGGGTGCATGGGTTATTAAAAATAACCCATGCACACTACCCCAAAAAGAAGAACATCCTGCAACTTATGCCAGGCTCCCAGTTTCATTTGAAAGACCGCAACTTCCAGTGTTAGCTGCACCTTTAAAAAACGCGCCTGTTGGAGGCCATGATTATTTACATGGATTAGTACAGGATTCCAATCATGGGTCAGTCCATTATTGAAAGTAAAATAAAATCCCCGATTCGCCTATTTCCGAAATGTATAACTTCGGATTTTTCTCATTCGCGTTTCTACCGCTTCCCGATAAGATGACGCGTAACGTCGGCGGAAGCGATGTAAGCGCCCGGAGCGCGCGTGAAGGCAACAGGGGTCTCTCTCCACGACTTCGAGGTCCTGGGCTAAGTGATACGCAAGAAGCTGGAGTGTCTGGAGTGTCTGAAGCTGCGGAAGCGGCTAGTAACGAAGAAGACAATCCGCTGGAAACCGGTGGCGGTCCCGCCATCCCTGGAAACGACCGTGGAAGTGACTATCCCGACGTGGAGGATGTAAAATCAGGGCGTGGTTCAGAATCGGATGGTGGAGAGGAAGAGGATGATGGGGGATTTACTGCAGAATTGGCTCTTGTACCTGTTAAAGCGCCGGTGAATTGGCACACAAGCTCGGAGGCATGGCAAACCTACTTTGCCGATTGCTGCCAGAGAACGATGCAAGTGTTACCAGTGAAGGAGACAATGTCAAGAGCAGAGAGGAACAAGCGCCTAAAGAAGACAAGGAAGGGAGGAGACGATTCGCAGTTGGTACCAGAGCAATTTGACCCCTACCAACGAACATATATCTGCACTCATGGCTGGAAGAAGCGGAAATCACGCAGTGAAGGAAGCAGGCCGCGGCAGCACATACGCTTGACTGACTGTCCTTTCCGGCTCGTAATCCAGTGGAATTTATCACGTGGTGAGCTCCAACTGAAAAACGGAACCTTCGTGCACAACCATAGAGTGTCACCAGCTGCTTTCGCTACTTATCCAGCATCTCGGGGCGTCGCAGATCCACTCGTAGATGCTCGAGTGCAAGAAATGCTATCTGTGGGCGCAAAACGTTCGAAGATCTACGATTATCTACTTGAACACGATCAGAACGTGATCCAGGTAGACGTCGACAACTTGGCTCGTGACCACGGCTCTAGCATTTTCAGTTTGGACGATAACGACGCAACGGCTCGGGAGATTGCGATATTTGCAGCTGCAGACCCAGAAAATGTCTGTTTAGTGTCTGAAACGGATGCTGGTGAGACCGGTGTGATATCTCTTGTTTCAGCACATATGCGCCGTATTTACAGTCGTTTCAGCGAAGTTCTGCTTGTTGATTGCAGTCACAAGACCAACCGGTACTGCATTAGTTTATTGTCCAGGATTTTTACATGATTAAGCAGGATTTTTTATAAACTATTTCTAGATACAATTACCAGCTTCTTACGTTCATGGCTATGAATGAATTTGGAGAGGGGGCAGTGGTGCAGCAGTCCTTAATCGAAGCCAATGGAGACTGGCACATGGAGAGGGCCATAGACCATTTCAAAAGGTCTCATCCTACGCGAATTAGCATGCTTCGAGTCCTTGTCGTCGACAAGGATATGAATGAAATTCGCGTTCTAGAATCAAATTTTCCCGAGGCGCGAATTCTCATTTGTCACTTTCATGTGATTAAATACCTTAAAGAGATGCGAGCGAGGCCAGAATTTTGGAAACGTTTCAAGCGAAGATGCAAGTCAGATCGACGGTGCTATTCACAAGATGGTATACGCGGTTTGTGAAGAACAGTACAAGACTGCACACGAGTCTTTGAAAGGACTGTGTCAGCGCATTGGTCTGGTTGGCTTTTTTTTAATTATTTTCAGAAAAATTGGGATTCCTGTCGAGATGGATGGGTTTACTATCTACGATCGAAACTGCCTCACTTTAAGAATCACACTAACAATCGACTGGAGAATTTCTTTGGAAAACGGAAGGACGCGGTCGATGGAAGTATGAGTATGGCAGGCTGTGTAAAGGCTCTGATTGCTTATGATCGCCGGGTTGAAAACGAGTACAAGTACAGATTGTCCCGAATTGGACAGTTTGTTAATAGCAATTACGACGAGGAGATGAACCACGTGCTACGATTTACAGCTCACTTTGTGGCGCAACAAATTGAACACCAGTACGCCACCGCGTTGTCAAAGGCGGCAGTGTACAGAATCACTGTTGATCCCGACGATGCTGGTCACGTGGTCGTTGGAGGAGTTTTCTCGCAGCACATTCTACGATTTGATAATTGGAGATGTGACTGCGATTTCTCCTTGTCGATGTGCCTTCCGTGTTGCCATGTAATCGCATACCGCAAGCACGCGAATGTTATGGGTCCAGTTATCCCCTGGAATTGCATCGACGAAAGGTAAAATAGTTATGATTCATGATTTTTCATGATTTGTTTTGGCGAATCCAGGATTTTTCCATGATTTCGATACATTTACTCATCATTTGTACTTATACTAATACTGCACATTTGCATTATGTTGTCATGGGTTGTGGACGATTGTCTAGGTGGACCTGTTCGTTGGGCCTTTTGAATAAGGTTAAACAGTTCAGTTATGAGAAGTTTACTAATGCAGAACGTGGATCGACCAAAAAAAAACTGAGGACGCACTCAGAACGATATCGCGAAGCGGTGAAGGCCACTCACCTTATCGCTAATGGAATGGCGGATATAGAGAACGAAGTGGAGTTTGAGGAAATGCTTCAGTTCGTTTTAGATCAGTGGAGGAACGTGCGCCAGCGGAAAAGTGTACCGATGAGTAATTCGGAAGGTGGGGATGAATGGCAAGGCGATGAACAGTGCGTTGATGGAGACGAAGAGGATGCAGATAAACAGATCCCTGTACGTACTTTCACAGAAGATGACATCCAGGCAGAGTTCAACATTAGTTCGAGCGAAGGTGAAGAAGCATTCGAATCGAGTGGGAAGGTGAAGATTCGGCTCAATCCCAAGGCCAAAAAGGTGGGTCGACCTCAAAAACAGAAGAAAACGACCAGCGCCGGCGAAAACAAAGGTCGAAAGTGGTATGAGGCCCCTGAAGCAGGGCGGAAGGTCGCAGGAGAGGTAACTTTGACCGCTTTAATTAACTCTCTGGACCGTGAGCAACCGGGGTTGATGGAGACACAAAGGCGTTTGTCTGGGGTACTTATGAAACACGGCGAGGCCGAGAACAAAAAGCCTAAGTTCAAAATCCTGAAAAATCCGGTTCTCATCCAGGACCCGCTCTACATTCTCCCAAAGAAGCTATTGGATGCTTGTATGAAGCTCCTTCCGGTGTCGAACACAGCAAACCATGCCATATCCATAGATGATTCCCAAAACAGCCAAGACACCGGATCTATTTAACTTCAAGGATCCATGGAGACGATTTGGATAAAAGTTGTGGGCAATTTTTCGCGAGCTCAAATTGAAACCTTCAAGAGAGTGCATAATCTTATGCAAGTGGTGAAACTTGGACTGGATACGCATAAGTGGCTCGTACAAGAAGGATGTCCTTCACTACCGGCTGAGTACCACGCAATTGCGACCTCCGTTGCCGACGAAATCCTGTCCACCTACCCGAAGAAGAGAATCGAGGGCCTTCTTAACCTATCTGATTTCCAATATGCGTTGCTCTACAGAGCTTCCCCTCCAACATGGCTAACAGATGCCTCGATAAGGGCTTTGTGCATTCGGCTCTGCGAGGATTATTCTTCGTGCAGATTGGCCGGCTTTCAGTCAGCAGTAGCAAGATCCAAGCGAACGCGGACCGAAAAGATTATGGTTGACCACAACACACGTAAACGACTTATAAAGATGGCCCGTGAAGATGGCGTCGATACGGTACTGCTACCGTTGAACTTCTCGAATTTTCATTGGTGCTGCGTTGTTGTAAAAGCTCATGCAAAGCGGATCTACTACTACGACCCGCTAAACCAACGTCCGTACATTAAAGCTGCCAACGCTGTTGCTAACAGCCTCAAGATTGGTGGACTTACCGAGTACGACGTGATCCTTCAAAACAATCCCATCCAGTTAGATGGTTTCAGCTGCGGCGTTTACGTCTGCTGGATGTTCATTAGGCAAGTCTCTACTGGACACCCCGTGGATATTAGCGTTGCGTCTCTCACGAAGCGTCGTTTCGAGCTTTTCTACTACATGCTGAAAGGTCATCTGCTGCCCATACATCCATCGGGCAGTGCTGAACAAGATGACACTGAGGAAAAGCGCCCTGCTGTTGCTCAACATGAAGATATGCAGCAAACCCACGAAGAAGAACAGGTGGAGCCAACGCAGAAACAAGAAGTTGCACAAACGCGGGTCTAAATGTAGCTTTAGCTGGATGGTTGCCTTTCAAGACCTGCAAAAACCCAAATACATGTCATTTCAACTTTGACCCTGCAGAATAAAGAGCGATCTCAGTAAACTGAAGCACAGGAATGGAGAGCTTGAGCCTGTCATGCACGTAACTCAATGCGATCGACGAGATAATAGCCTTTAAGAGATCTTTCCAGAATTTTATTCATGGAATTTCCAGGATTAATTCTATAAAAAGCTACTAACATTACTGTACTTATTATTAAAACATAATTTAATCCTGAAACGTACATGATTAATCCTGGAAGAAGGACAGTCACACGTTAGGTATCTTACTCGTCCTCAACGAATCTTCCCGTATCTTCCCCATATGTCTACTGAAATAAGATATGATTTGACGTCCAGGATTAATCCTGACCTTAATCGTGTAAAGTTCCATGTAAATAATCCTGGCCCTTAACACCTGCCTTTAAAAAAAGCTGCTTCCGAATGGAGTCCCTATGAAATACTGATTAAATATTAGTCGGCCCGTTACTCCTCACATGTGTCAATTCGAATATGGTCAAACAATCTATTTTTCAAATTATAACCAAAATCCACAAAAACACAGAAGATTGTTGCCTATGGCGGCACGGGTAACATCAAAACCTATTCATCCAGTGAATGTTGCTTGAAGAAGATTGGGTGAAACACATCTCTCTTTTAAAGTAGAAAAAACAAGGGGGTGAATTTAATAAATCTCTACTCAGGCAATTATAGAAGAGTGTTCTTCCAGCGCGAAATGAATCCCGTGCGAGGTTACAGTTTTTCTTTAGGTCGAATGTCGTCCCTGGAGAAACTCTGGATTAATAAAATCCAGAGAATTTCAGAGACTTAGTCTATCCTGACATTGAAGTTCTCTGGATATTAATATCCAGTTCTTACCCGGATCGTAGACCCGTGGAGCAGGGCTTGCAACACGTTCTGTACGACGCCAGCTCCTCGGGTCAAGCACAAGCTTGCGTTGCCTTCAGCTTTGTGCTCGCCAAGCGAGCACTCAGGGGCGGATCTTCATACAAAATCGGGGGCATCGGCTCTCCATTTTTTTTTTGTCCAAACCCGATTTTTAGGCAATCTCTTTAAAATGTCTAATTTCAGACAGCAATTGGTTTTAAATAGATAGAGATACAGTTTATGATTGGACAAAACACGACCTTTGAAATCCCTTACACATGTCAGCAGGTCCGCCGTTTCAAATCACAGCTACAAAAGTTGATGGAAGTGCCGGGTGAACCTCCGTCGCACGGGTCGACTCGGCCGATGGCGGCGACAGCTCGAGTTATCGTAGCGCCAGTGACGCACCTAGGGATTGGTGGACGTCAGCGAAGCAGCAGCTTGGACAGCGAGCGCTTGTGGCGACCGGCGAGCGGCTTCGCGTCCAAGCAGCATGCTGAGCTGGAGGCCAAGCGGTTGCACAAAGAGAGGCAGCTGCAACGCGATCGACGGAGGCAGGAGGTGCAGGCTGAAAAGAGAAAGCACGAGGCCGAGCTAGCCAAAGGTCCGAAGCCCAACGACCACGTGATAGTGGAGGAGGGCGAGTGGAAGACTGTGGTGTCTCATGGCCGCAGAGCGCACAACGACCGCCGGGCAGCGCACGCGACCACCGCAATATTCCTGCCGTTGTCTCTGGGTCCGTCTGCTCTTAAATTTAGCAATTTCGCTCGATGTATCATCTGTTTCTGCTGCAGTGAGCGGCGAGCGCTCCTTAAGGTCATGACGAGATGAAAGCTGCTGACGTAGCGAGCAGAAAAAGAAGGCAACAAATGAGGAGACGACGGAAGACTTCTTCGCAGCGAGCGGAGGCAAAATCTGAGACGGAAAATGGAGT